TTCCTGAGGTCTTGTAGAAATATCTGCTGCTATGGTGCTATTGCGATGTTTTTTCTTTGATGAGCAGAGTGAGTTTCTCAGCCCGACTGCATCTCTCTCCTCAACAGTGTTCACAACTTTGAGTTCAGTTGTGCAGCTTTTCATGAATTCAGACACAGATTAACACTTGAAGCATGGTTTTATCATAAAGCCAGAGAGTTCATAGCACCACACATGTTGTTGAGATTTACTGAACTGGCAATTTTAATGCATTTCAAATACATTAGCCTCGTTTGTGATGCTTCATAGTGCTGTACATAAAAGCATCACTAGCAGTTGTTAAAGAAATAAAGTGAAGGTGAACTTCTTTCCCCCTAAACCTAAGGCAACATTTCAAAACACTCCAAATGCAAGTTATTTTCACACCTTGTATCTAATACAAATCCATCATTTATTCAGATAAGTATCAAACCAGAGATGTTCCAGTTGCCTGGCAATGACTGCACGCTGGTTAGTGTGTAATTGTGGGCATGAATGTATAATGAAAAGCAGAACAGCAATGTTGTTAACTGCTCAACTGTAAACTTTACAGCATTAGAAGCTCATTGTCTTCTTTCCATAGACAATCTATACATTTATGCCTTTCAAAATTGATGATGCATTCTTGCGGTCTGCAGAGATGATTTATCTTACCCTGGATCTGCTCTATTTACAAACTCAGTAATTTCCTTTTGGGCTTTTTGTACATTGGAAAAATTGTAAATGTTTAAAAATTATTTAAATTATTTATCTAAACCACATTTAGCAGATCAAATTGAAATGTCTGCTCTTATAACCATATTTTTTTCCCACTTACCTTTGACTATCAACTGTTTCACCAAACAGAGCTTTTTCCTGTTATAAGTGCACAAACGACAGACCTTAAAGCAATGGGTGAAAAAAAATCCCTGTCAGGTTTAGTACTTGTCTTCCTGCCACCCACCTCTCAGTCATGACCTGCATTTTGAAAAGCCAGACCTCCAGGTTTATTGACAGTCATGAGGAGCTCCACTCTCCTCCAGTTTAAACACCAGTTCCATGTCTATTAACGGTGTTGGGTCTTGACCTGACCCCTCTAATACCTTCATCTGGGCCTCCCTCCTCCACATCTTTTCTTCCTCCTTTTACGCAGTCACTCCCAGTGGAGGCTGTGCCACCTCGCCCCGTCTCCATACAAACAGAGGCGGGCTCCTGTCGTCTCTCGACTTAACGGTATTTATAACGATTTGACCCTGGGACCTTTCTGTGCTAATGATCTGCAGCCCCTCCCAACACAAACACAAGTGCATGCTGACAGACGACAACCCACTCAGTGTGTATTATGATGGCTTTTTTGTTTTGTTTTGTTGAAATAAACTTGGTTGCTTTTAGAAAATTCAAGCAGTTTTTAATATTTTATTACATTTATTATTATTAATTTTTATTTTTATTTATTTATTTTTTTTACTTAAGTTAGTGAATAAGGATTTCCCCATTGAATTAAAATCCCTCTGTTTAGGACTGCGACCAAACATGTTCTCTATATTTTATACTAACATTACAATTCAAGGCCAAAACATTAATAGGTTAGGACTCTACTAAACTTTCTTTTTTTTTTGTCTCAACACACTATTAACGTATTTTCTGGCGTATAAGTCGCAGTTTTTTTCACAGATTTGTCAGTCCTGTGACTTATACGCTGAAGCAACTTATATACATTTTTTCATATTCATAATGCAATTTTTTGACTGATGCTTTAAATTTCTAAGAACTGCAACAGTGAGTTCTCCCATTCACCCAGCTGGTACAGGCGGAAGAACACTGGAGAGTTAGCGGCTCCGGCTGCGATGGATGGATGGATGCCGCCGTGCCGCCCAGGTGAAATGAAGCTGTTTTGACCATTCAATAAATGCATAATAAACGCAACGGGTCAGCGGTGACGCATAATAAATGCAACTTATATGTCGAAGTGACTTATATATGTTTTTTTTTCTCTTCATGATACTTTTTTTAACTGATGCAACATGTGCTCCAGAAAATACAGTACAAGCTTTAAGATTAATTAAACATTCTGGATTTTTAAAATCTCTTTTTTTTTTTCATTTAAATCATCCATGTTTGATCCCGCTCTCATCAGTCCTTTCTTGTGTTAAATTCACTTGCACATTAGTGCACGAGTCTGGTTCAGGAACACGGAGAGATGCTGCCAGACATCACAGCCACATTTACAGCACACACAAACTTGCAGCTCTCCACAGACAGAAAAACAAACTATTGTGCTCCTGCTTTCATTCTTTTCTCTCTCAAGGCCTTTTCTCTCCTCACATGAGTCATACACGCACACACATGCACACGCCAGCCACTTTAGATTCACACACACACAAACAAAATCTCTCAGCCCTTTCAGTCTCGCCCTGTCAACAGCACTACAGCCTGATATGAGGCCAGCGACAGAGGAAATGAACAATGTGGCCCATTATTATAATGGAGCACAGCCAGCTACACATAAGAGGAAAAACATCTAGTGAATAGTGGGCTCATGGGAAGCAGATCTGAAATCACAGGACAGTGCTTCTGGACGGCTCCTGTCTTGAAGGAGTCTGGTGCATCAGGTGCATCTATCAACAAACACCACTTTTTGTTCTTTTTCAGATGACAAATTGTTGTTCCTAACATGCCTAATTCAGAGAGGGCATAAACGAGATGACCTTTTAGAGCCACAAGCAGGAAGTAGACAATTACTCAGCAGGATTTATTGCTGTACTTAAGCGACACTCATTGAAAGGGAGTAATTTGTTGATCTGTTTACGAACCTGGGTGATAAATATCTCAGACTGCTGGATTTTTTTTTATCATTATTTTTTTGTTTTCATTAGATTGTTGTCTTTGTCAAACCAGTGTAAGGAAAAGAAGGGTGATGGAGTATTCTACTTATACAGAAGCAGGGTTTCAAACATTTCATCACTGTGGGCTCTGGACTCGATGCCAGCAGCTTTTCTTTCAACGATTATGATCAACTTCTGTTCAGAGTGAGGAGTTCACTCAGTCATTAGGAGCTCGTGACAGATCCATGTTGAAAAGCGAGTGTTAATGTGGTCTGACCATCTGTCTGGGATGTGTCCCACATGAGGCATTTTAGCAGTTTCCATAATGATGGATGGCTCTTGTCTAACAGTTAACACCTGAATAACCCTTCATTACTTGGCTGAATAGGTTATGTTTTAGTCCATAATTTGCATTAAAAATTAAGCTAATAGAGATGAGCTGTGACCTCTTCTGCTGAAAACTGTATCCCAGCCCTTAAACTTGAAAAATAAATTGAGCCAGTATTTCAGTGTGTAATATTTGAGCCGATAGAGACGAAGAGCCAAAGGCGACAGAATAATAAACCCAGAAAGTAGCATCAGTGTGTGACCCTTGCAAAATGTTATTGCTGTTTGTTGCTGTCTCTGTGGTTAAAAAGAAATAAAATAAAAAAAACATTGCTTTGACAGCGTAAATATGGACAACGTTACCATTAACGTCATAAAATTAACATTAATATCAGAAGAGTTTAATATCACTGACAAACACATTTATATTCCTTTTTAAAAGCTAATAACATTTTCATTATGTTGCCAGAACAGACCATCTTCTGTAACTCGGACAGGCTGTCTGACTCACATCTTCACCTCTTAAGTTCTGTGTTTTTAAGTTGTTCATATTCTACTTTAAAAAAAAAAGTCAAAATAATAATAATAATAATAATTTTCGGTGAACTAATTTTCCTTGGTTTTTACACCTATTTGAGTTCTTGAATTAGTCTTTTTCTATTAGTCTTTTTGAGGAGATAAGTTTATTTTTTCTGCTTTGAAAAGATTGAAGTCTATCTTTGATTTGATCATTAATGCTACAGAGTCAGGTTAAATAAACTGCTTTCTGCTAATGAAACTGGTATTTTCCCACCTTTAGAGCAAATAGGAGCTTCAGTTAATTACTTTAGCCTTTCATAGTGATAGACAATAATGTGGTAGACAATTTCTGTATGCATGTGTTCATTTGTCTTTCTAGTAGCGAAATATCTTATGAATCAGTGCATAAATTTTAATAAAACTCATTGGATGTACATGTGCAACTGATTAAAAAAAAATAATCCAAGCTAATTAAAATTGGGCGCCACAGATATTTAGGTTAGCAAGCACGAAATGGCTGTAACTCAGTGAATTTTACAGATATTGAGCTAAAATTTGTTATGGTAGTAGCTGAGAGTCCTGCACAGCACATACTATGAGCACAAACAGATTGAGTAAAATATTTGTTCAATACTTTGACGTGCAAGGCAGCATGTGATAAGCATTATTTCATGGAATGCTACTTTGAATATGTTTTGCATTCACTAACACGAAGACACGTGGATTCTGGGCAACTATTTTCCTCACAACATACCTCCCACATCCTTATAAACAACAAGATCAGGAGCACAATGATACTGATCGTGTCAACATTGTGATAGAGTTGCACGGATGATATTTTAGCATTGAATAGGAACAGTGTTTGTGAGTGAAATGTATGTAAAATGTGGTCAGAATGCATAACCATATTCAAGATTAAGTTTATAACCACAAGCTCATATAGATTGAAATGTATTGGCATAAGCATTCCCATCTGAGGGCAAACATTTTTATAGCTGAAGAAGATGTGGTAGTACAGGATTGTATTACTCATATGAATGCTATGTTCCCGTTTCAGGTCATTGTGCAGCTTTGAGATGCACAAAATTGCTAAACTTTAAATTAGAAGTTGAAACGAGGTTTGCATTTTCACTTAACTGTCATTGTGGGAGTTGGGTTTGACTATAATTGTTCTCTAAAATTTACAAAACATATTAAACACCCTACACTATTCAGTCGAAACAATTGTAAAGGTGCAATGATTTGCTACTCTCCACTGTTTAAATGCTTAGTGAAATCAGCTTAAACCTTTATGTCTCACATTTCTATCCTCATATTTCTACATTTTTGCAGGACCATCTTCAGTGATCAGCAACGACGACGACTCGGCTTCTCCCCTTCACCACGTTTCTAACGGCAGCAACACGCCCTCCTCCTCAGAAATGGGCCCTGACGCCGTCATCATTGGCATGACGAAGATCCCTGTGATAGAAAACCCCCAGTACTTCAGGAGCACCAACAGCCTGCTCAAGACTGACACATGTAAGTTTAAAAAAACAACAACCATACTTTCTCATCTTTAGCCCACACAAACATAACCACTGAACACACTATCATTTGGAAAATCAATCAAGAGCAAAGCCCCATAATTCAAGTTTGGTTGTTTGGCACACAGAAGTTGGAACATCAACATATTTCCATTCTGTGAATGCACTGATCTTGGAACATGGAGAAAAAAAAGCTGTAATTTCTGAGGAAAAATGCAGAAAAAGAAAGCCAGTTTATATACAAGCTGACGTTTGTAAATTGGGAACACATTTGTTCATTAGTGGAAGACGTCCATGTTTGAGTCACCGTGTCCACAGGAAGCAAACATACAAGAGCTCCGACGACCCCCACATGTTTTATATAACTGCACAAAGTGTATGCACCACAAATTAATAAGAGTACATTATGGAACAAAAAAGGACAAAACAAAAAGGACTAGAATTTTTTTTTTTTTTTTTTTTTTTTTTAAGAACAAAAATAAATCTACAGATGAAAGGCACAGGACTCACACAGATATTGACCTGTTCCATCATCAAGTCATTATGATTATTGACAAGTAATAAAAGCTTCTCCAGGCTTTGGCCTTGTGTTGTAGTAAATTATAGCTCTGGGCATGTGTGTGTGTGTTCTTTTTGTTGAGAGCTACATTTAGGCGGCACACTAATGGGAGACTGTAGGTTGACCCTCTGTAGTCCTGCTAAATAACCGAAAGACTGACTGGGATTTGCAGCCCAAAGACAAGAATGAAAGTGCTGAGGATCAATAAAAGTCGATAACATTCTGCAATGCGCTCGCATGTGCCCTGATGTGTATTTTTTTTAATCTTTGTTATTACAGTGATTACTCCATGTGCCTCTTTTAGTCACACACAGGCTGAATAGTTTAGTGTAGGTATCTGACTGATTATTTGATACTAGCATCTTTTCAGAGCAGCACAAAAGCCTTTGATGGAGACGGTTTGGCAAAGTGGCTCTGGGTTGCTCTTTAATCATGGCCTTAACCAGTTTGTCTATTCAGTAGTGGGTATACGTTCTACTTAAATGATTGCAGAGACCTCTTCCTGGCAGCAATAAAGCAGCAATTACTGTGCAGAGATGATGGATTCACGGGCAATCATGGAAAATGTTGGATCTGTTGCACAGCTTAAGTTGTTTGGCTATTCTCTGAAGTGAGCACCTCGTTAGCAATAATAATATCAGAGGAGGTAGGATACCACGATGCATGCAGTAAAACATGCAGGTTGGCAAAATTGTTTATATGACTCCCCAGTTTCTCATGTATGTACAGTCCACTTTGTTCTCATCTTAATGGAAAGAAACAGAAATACCCAGCTGGACAGAGACTGAAGGTTCTCAGGACAGCTGAATCCAAACATATAGCCATTTTGTTTCATATTGTTCGCCTCTTTATGCTCATCTCTTATTGACCACTAGAGTCCGAACAACTTTAAAAGCTATGACAAAAAAGTTTTTATTGAACTTTTTTTTCTGTCTTTAATTGCTTACAAAGATGGCTGACCTCAGAAATCCTCCCACGTTTTAAAGCAACGGATGGATCTTTTAAAAAGGGACAGTCTGGAAGTACTGTCAACTCATTACACTGTCATGAAGACTGGTTAAAAAAAAACAAGTAAAAACCTCATGAAGTCAGAATCAGAAAAGGCCTGAGTTTTTTGCTCATGTAGATTGAATTAAAATATTGTAATCTAAATTGGTGAACTATTGCAAACGACAACATACATTTGTTTACCTGCAAAATCAGCTGATGTGATTCAAAATAGGTCATCAATAATGACACATATGGAAAAGCAATTTGAATCGAGTCATCCAGCAATATTGATGCATTGGTACAGAGTTAGGCTCAGATTTGTAAAGAAAGGGTTAATAGGTTAACATGTTTAGTTTGTGTTGAGTGCAAACCAGCATTTTAGATTGTTGTACCATTGTAGTATCTGTAAAACTACTGGAGAAAATTATTTTAAACTGCACCAGTTGAGGAAATTTAAGATAATTATTTTTAATACATGTTATTGTTTGCTATGAGTACCTTTAGTGTCCTACCTGTCTTAAAAAAAACTTTTAAAATAGGATGGCCAGTCCAAATGGGACAAGACCAAAGTGGATTGCTGCTGTCCTGAAAAGAATCAGAATCAGATTTATTGTCATTGCACTGAAGCACAACAAAATTACATTTCAGTACATCCTGTCCAAAAAAACATAAACAAACAGACATGGGGAGACAGAGGTGTCTGAGGCCGCAGCCTTCGGGAGACGCTGCCCTTTTCGTTTAGATAAGGAAAAGAGAACTCAGCACATAAACAGCAACATACTGATGCCATCATAATACATTATGCATGAGGAGGCCGATGGAGATGGTGAGTTTGTCCGTGGACACTGCCAGATACTTCCATAGTCCTGATAAGAGATTGTGCCTATTAGCTGGCTCAGCTCTGACCCAGGTCCACAGATGTCCTCGGGAAGGGAGCAGAGCTTTTTTTTAACATCTAGGAGAGTTTGAGATAGTTGGCCAATTCAAGGCTGACACGAGGGAGCCAGATTCAGATAAAAACAATTATTCTGGGTCATCACTTTAATCGATTTTAATCAAATTTAATTAAATAAAACATTTTAATCTTAAGAAAATGTATTAAAATTCTTGTGAAGGCAATCAACATCATTATCAATTTTATATTGCATGATTATTTACCTATTTGCAAGTACACATAATGACAGCAGCAGTAAGCTGTAGCACTTCCAGTGCAGTTAAGGATGCTTCTGCTAGAATATTCTAATATTTTAGACAGAAAAAACATGTAACTAGTTTGTTGAAATAAAAATATTCGAATGAACTTGAAAGAATGTTTAACACATCTGTACTTATAATGTATTCTTCACTTTGCTTCAAAGTAAAATAAATATTTTCCTAAAGTTTTTTTTTAAACAACACAAATAATAAGAGTTTTAAAATATTGCAGTTATTAGATAAACGACCTATAATCTAAACTCCACAAGCAGCTTCAACGTTTTCACATCAACCTAAAACATGTTTTTCGTATGTCATTTCATGTAACATCACTCTATTCTTCTATCACCTCTTTCCAAGCAGATCTCTCTGGGTTTGTGTTTCATGTCAACCAAGGATTGGGGAATAATGTTGCTCTGGAAAAAGCTGCTCATAAGTCAACATGCATTTGCAATATTCATGTTACATGTACACATAAGCTCATGTTCACACGTGTATCAAATTAGCTACACCTTGTTAAAGATGACGAGTGTGACATTGGGGGCTCAGGTTTGGAAAACACGAGGGAAAATCAGAGTGGTGGCCTGGTTGTCCTCTCTTAAACATGATCGTGTCTGACCTGTTGTGTTGCTTGGTTCCAACTATAAATCCACAGTTTCCAAGCTGCTCAAGCTGTTTCATGTCTGCTTTGGAAAAAGCTGATCCTACGAGAGAGGGCGGAGCGAAGGAAGAGGCAGATGGCAAACAGGCAACAATTATTTCCCAAGACACTAATTTCTTCGGGTGTTTATGAGATGTTGATCAGGGTGGATATTTAGGTGTGCAGAGGGGCTCAATTGACAGATGCAAAGAGGTGTAAAATACTCCAACGATGTGAGACAAAAGGCTTGGTGGGAATGAGCCACACTTTTATCTGAACAGGCATCAAGAAATCGGAAAGGATAAATGGTGCAGCAGGAGAAAGAAAGAAACTGCAGATGGGAGGTTTTGACAATAGTTGATACGTGTTTCAGCAGAGGATGATAGCAGATGCTCAATAAGAGAGAACGAATGAAAGAACATTAAATTAGTGAGAATAAGACAAGTACTGTTCAAAAAAATAAAATCAATGATCTTTGAAAGCTCAATTACTGTGTAGAGAAGTTATCCAGCCATCATCTTTACCCGCTTCTTCCTTTTTGGGTTGCGGAGGTCACTGGTGCCCATATCCAGCAGCCACTGTGCAAGAGGTGGGGGACACCCTTAACAGGTTGCAAGTCCATCACAGGGCCTGAACATTTATATCTTTTGTTAATTCTTCCATTACGGATGCAAAACGATTACAATAATGCAATGCACATCCAGCAATGAAGAAACTGCAGCAAAATGCTGAAAGAGCCAACGAGGCATCCTGCCAAGCAAAAAGAAAAAAGATATTGCAGTAAGGGGAGCATTGGGCTGCACATATCAATTTATTTGCTATTTGAGGATGTTAATTAAGGAGAAGTGGTGCGAAGCGTTTTCATGGATGGATGCTTGTACAACCGCAGTAGGAAATGGTGCGGTGAGGTAATTAGCTAGTTAAATAGCAGGTGGCTGTCTATTGGGAATGCAGGTTTATTGTGTGCTGCTGTTGCGTAGAGAATTGTGGCTGATCTGTGACCTGCTACTGATGTTTCTGAGATGAAGACTGAATGCTGTGACGAGTGACTGGCAAAAACTGTCATCAGTATGCACTTGTGTCTTTTAAACACCCCTAAACCACTGGATTCTTCCCTCAGCTTGTCTCTCAAGTTGCTGTGTTTGGTCTTGAACAGCTAAATTAAACCTTCTGGCTGTTGATAGGTCTTTTTTTCAGGTCTTCAGGACTGGTTTTTCATAACGATTGTTCATTCAGTCTTTTTTTTTTTTATTTAACCTTTGCTTCACATTAAATTAAGACTTTTTTACAGAAGTGTTTTGTTAAAAAAACCATATCAGCATACACAAACTCCCATAATGGTCACACAATAAGTGACATTAAAAATGATAAAAATAAAAATACATCCTAACTTTTTACTTATTTAGCACATTTACTCCAATGTAGCGTTTTGATTTTCTGATAAAAAGGTGTGTTCTCATACACCATCCCTTGGGCTCGTTGGTGTACCTGATAAATATGTTTTTAAAAAAAAGTATTTTTCCATCCATTTGATGCGCAAAGTTAAAGCTGATGTGTTGCTTTATTACAAACAATACGAGCATTACAATTTACTAGAATAGATAAATATTAGGTCTGACTCTGCATGCATATTTGCCAAAAGCTTTTGAAACGCAAGGACGCAAAATAAAAAAGTTGTCGACATATTTGAGGGAATAATATACTTTGTATTAACAATTAAATATATGATCTTCAAATCTGACCTAGTTCGTGGTTGTCCATCCTCCTCTCTTCTGATGTTGCTTGTGTTGGTGAGAGATTTGATGTTTATCTCAGTGAAATCATATCATGTGTTTCTATAATCAGCTGATCTGACAATCATCATCTCAACAGACAGAAGGTTGTGCAGTTTAAACCTGGGCAACATGTACTTTTAATTATATATTATAACAACTGGTTTACATTTTTCATGTACGTCTTTGTCTCTGTCTGCCTGTTTAATATTGAGTTATGGTGGACCTCAGCAGCTCATCGTGTAGATCGATGCAGCGTCTTCTCAGAGTCTAGATGAGCTTTAATGTGATATTCTGAGTGAACAGCTTTTCTTCAAACGTGCCTCTTAATCACATCTCGCATTAATCTGAACCTGCGTCACATTGTGGATGTGTGTATGTGTTTCCAGACATCCCCATGTGCATGGTTTCCATAGTTTTCTCATGTGCCAGCATTTGTACATTTGGCTCACAATCAAAAGTCACAGATTAAATAGGATGAATGTGAGGGGAATTCAGAGTTAATCATTCTGTAGAAGGAAACATTTAGTCATACAGGTGGTGAGAAGCCAACTCTTTCTTAAAATCAGCTTGCAGGGAGTCCCAAGTTACTTAGCAACAGAATACAGGAGTTTTATAGGAGCTCTGATTTGACTGTGGGCGAGCAAGCAGAGATTATTTGACATAAAGGCCATAATAATTCCAGTTTTTAATTACTGTTCATCAAATTAACACAAGACAAAACTAATAAATTTAATAAAATTTAATAGTCACATTTTAAAACAAGCATGTTCCTATTTAAATTATAATGTCTAATACAAGGAAAAAAACATGATAAGAAAGCAAGGTTATTTATAAGAATAAACAATATATTGAAAGACATTTTTTATTACTACCGTATTTTTTTGGATTATAAGGCGCACCGGATTATAAGGCGCATTAAGCGAACCAAAGCAGTCAGTGAAGTCAAACTTTATTCAACTCATTCACAATAACTCTCAACATTGTTCAGTTGTACCAAATAAAATTGATTTGAGGTCAGTAAGCGCAACAAGAATTAATACATAAGGCGCACTGGATTCTAAGGCTCACTGTCGATATTTGAGAAAATTAAAGGATTTTAAGTGTGCCTTATAGTCCAAAAAATATGGTAAATAAATGTGTGAATTATCAATATTGCCAAGAACTACTTGGACTAAAATAAATCACTTGCATAGTCCAACAGCAATGAATGCATATTCTGTTTGTCGATACCTGAGTACACCAGGACAGTAAACATGGACACTGACTTTCAGATTCAAAAAGTTGTTCCCTGTTAAACTTAGACCTGCTGTCCTTATTCAGAAATACCTTTAAATAGTCTTTTGTATTAAATTTTTATAAAAACATTTTCTAGTTTTTTTTTTTTTTTTACTTCTATTTAAAAATCCACATTAAACTAAAATTCTGGGAGTATTTGTGTGCTATGGGGTGCCTGTGGGGTCCAAATAATTTAAAGGGTGGCTATTGCCTCCCCCTTGTCCACCTTTGGTTGAACCCCTGGGCAAAGGTCTTAAAATAATATATACGTATAAACTTTTGTTTATGCAGTTGGTACTTTGTAGTGAACATTTTACATGGCAACCCAAACTGTCACATTTTCAGGAAGTTTGCAAAATGTGAAATGCAAACCCAGCACAAAGAAGCTAAAATATATTTTTAAAACTTTATTACAAACATAAATAAGGCATACAAGGAATTTAAAAAGGCACAAGGACACCTGGACTGTGACATAGGAACCGACAATGCTCTGCTGAAGATGTGGCAAACACTGGGTGATTAAATAGACTGAAGATGATGTGGAAAAATGGCTACAGCTGTGACAGGTGTGCAGGGTGCAGGTGTAAAAGTGGTGTGGCAGTACTGGCTGAGGAGCAGACAACCAACACAGAAAGAGTTTGATGGCACAGAGGAACACAGGGGAAACGCAAGTAACATAACTAAACACAATAATCACAAAAATATTTTATAAAAATGTTATCACAAAAAAAACAAATAATAAAGAAACTAAAGCACAAATCCTCACATAAGCAGTGGATAACAGATGTGAACTATGCTTCAGAAGAGAGACTTGTGCTTTCTAATGTGCGGTTAACATTATAAAACAGTTAGCACCAACATAACTGGTTTGTTCCACTTTGGAGTAAGCTGTTTGGGGGAAGAATCAGTTTTGTGTTTTGTTTTTCCTTGACTGATGAAGCCTTCTGGATGGAAGGTAAGACCCCTCTGAACTAGATCTTTTTTTTTCTTTGTAAAATGTTTTATTTGCAACAACAACTCATGTTAAAAAAAAAACATCAATCAACCTGCTCTTTGGTCTATAAGAACATATCATGCCACTTTATTTGGTTTCCCATTCCAGAACTAACCCAAACTATATGAACTAAACTTCAACAAAACAACAACAACAATAATTATTATTATAATAATTATAATGATAACAACAATAATAATATAGGTGTTTGAACTATATTTATTTAGCTTACTTTATTCATCACTTGTATTATTTGCGTTGTAATTTTTGTTTATGACCTCGTCAGTCTTTTGATTATCTAAATGGAACGATGTCAAAGTTATTGTTTACGTTTGTCTCCTTTTTTCAGTCGTTCAACACATAAAGAGACACAACATCGTGTTGAAGAGGGAGCTGGGAGAAGGAGCCTTTGGGAAAGTTTTCCTGGCTGAATGTTACAACCTGTCACCAGACCAGGAGAAGATACTGGTGGCCGTCAAGGTAATCTGGAAATATAGATATTTCACCTCAGTGTCATGTCACAAAGAAAAAAAATTAAATCTATTTTTCTGCTCTTTGTGAAAGTAATTAATGTAAGCAGAAGGTGCACAGGCATTAGGTTGTTTTTTTGCTATATTGTCATGGTGGCACTGTTGATAGAGCTGCTGCCTCTCAGCAAGCAGAATCAAATCCCAGCTGGGGGCCTTTCTGGGTGGAGTTTGTTCTCTCCGTGCATGCATGGGTTTTCTCCGGGTACTCCAGTTTCCTCCCACAGATCAAAAACATTTAGGCTGATTGGTAACTCTAAATTGTCCCTAGGTGTGAGTGAGAGAGTGAATGGTTGTTTGTGTCGTTTGTCTCTATGTGTCCCTGTGATGGACTGGAGACCTGTCCAGGTTGTCCCCTGCCTCTTGCACTGTGACTGCTGAATATGGGCACCAGTGACCCCCGTGACCTGAAAAGGATGAAGTGGGTATAGATAAGTGATGGATGGATGAATGATGGATGTTGTCAAATGGGACTATTTAAAAAAAATTCTATGTAGTTAAGGTCTTAAAACATACAATTACTTTCTGAGCAACTGGGGGGGAGTGGGGGGGATGGAGGACCTACCTCAGTGAAAACAGTTGAACACAAAGCTTTTGTTTGGCTCACAAGAATCAAGAATTCATACCAAAGGATGGACTGGTTTTATAAAAATAATAATTTATCCTCGGTGAACTCATTGAACTCAAATTGTTGACTTCTCTGATATTTGGTACAGTATTCAGACTCTGTGTTCGCCTTCGTTTCCCCTGCCATCATTAGACGGTTGTTCCTTTTGAGGGTTTCTCAGCTTGAGGAAAGGTGGGATTGCAAGAAACCGCTGACTTCCAGGATCAAATTAAATGGCATCCTGCCGTAACATGTATCTGCCCATCAGTCCTGGCGGCTCTCTCTGCTGCTGGGCAGTGAAACTGGAGCTGCATGGAGAAGGATTTCGCATTAACAATACATGACCTGTGACAGACCTCCTTCCCTCTCTGTTCTCTTTTGCCTCCCACTTCAACTTTCTCTCTCCTCCACACCTCCTCCTCACACCTGCTGATCTTGTTTTTTGTTTTTTTAATTTATTTCTCTCCACACTGACTCATCATCTTGGCTCTAATTCTCCTCGCAACCCCCCACCTCCTTTTTTCTTTTTTTGGACTTCCTGTTTCCTTCCAGCTTAGCCCTGAACCACCTGGAGAGGTTTGCTGCCAGCTTAGCTTCAGCTTAGTTTGAGCGTGCTCCAAAATATTCACCCGAAAATCCTGGGACTGACTGCAAGCAAGCTCTTAAATGCTGAAATAATTTAGGTGAGGCTGCGTGTGAATAGATGAAATGTTCAAGTAGGATCACATCAATGATTATACTTCCAAATCTTCAGCTGCTTCGGTTAAGAAACACTCATTTCAGCGCAAATATTTGGATGAATTATAATTTCTTAAAGAGCTTGGCATCACCTGCTTCATTTTATGTCACAGTTTTAGACTAAGATCATCTTATAATGAGAATTTTTGAAGATCTTATTTTAATCGGACCTTTAAAATATCCATATGTTCCATCTTATGTGTGATATCACACACTTACATGTTGTGAATGACTGAACAACTACCACAGCAAATCTGAGATCAATACCAGTAAAACTGACAGAGTTAGAGTTAGTCAGGGGTTTTCTACGATCAATCAGCAACGGTGGCCGTTTTAAAATAAACTGACTCCAAAGGTAAATCAGATGCAGATGTACCTCCTTTATTTTATGAATGTTTGATTAGCATTTGTTGAGTAGTTAATGAGATATTTTGCTAAAAAAAAATTAGGGTTTACTCCAGTAGTTAAAGCTGAAGTTTTAAGCAAAAATCTTGTACAATGATGAGCTCCTGAATAATATCTTGTTAATCTTCCTAAGCTACAATTGCACCAAACGTTAAGTTCAAGTTCAAGTAGGTTTTCTTGTCATTCACATCACATGTGGTACATGAGGTGGAACGAAATTGTGTACACATGGTCCCAGTTACATCCAACAATAGCAAAAATACAAAAGAAACAGTATCTAAGAATCTAAAATATAAACTAAGAAATATGCTAAACAATAATAGTGCAAAACAATATCCTGAAAAACAGCAGCACAAACATGAGTCTTTGTGGGTAGATGAGTACGAATGAATACAGCAGCATGAAATAATCAGCAGCATGAGATCAGCAACACATCACCAATCAAAGGGGCATTACAGTATTTTTTTTCTTTTTCACAGTAATAATCCTGGTTAGGGATTTATGAGTCTAGCTTCAGGGTAGAAGCTGTTCCTCAGTCTAGTAGTTCTGCATTTAATGATCTTCAACTTCTGTTATTAAGACCATTTCTGTAAAACTGACTTAAAAAACAACAACAACAAAAAAGAAACAAACAAAAAACATTTTTGCTAACCGATGGACGGAATTGACTTGGATTAGGTAATGTAAAAATTTTAACCAAAGATGCTGTTGATGGCAGTAATCAGAACAAACATGCAAGAAAACATTTTTTTTATGAAAAATTTATATATTCATTTAAAAAGTTTCACCACAGTTCTTTATAGAGTTTCAAAATTACTGACTGTAATAAATGAACTAAAACATCGAGGGAGAATTAGCGTCATATTTCAACAAAATCTTTGGCTCTCTTTTGCATTTTCTCTGTTTGTGCATTTCAATCATCCATGATGTTCAGCCTCCTCGCAGCTATTATCACACATTATAAATTCTGTCTTTCCTCTCCAACCTCATCGTATTTCACAGTTATTTATGCAACTACTAGCGGACTTGAAATCATAGAATTTTGTTACAGATTCTCCTGCAAAACATTTCAAACGTAAATTAATTCCACTTAAAAATCACCGGAGGACACAGCGTGTTCTTTTACTCTGTATAAACCGATCTTTAAGTATCTGTTCAGGATGTTTTTAAAACCAGGTGTATAATAATAATAATAATAATCCACATTCATATTAAACTCATTCATCCATTTACACACCCCATATGCCTGCAGCATCAAAATGAAATAAATAAATACACAATAATGAAATGTATCATTTAATTATTAAAAACATCAAATTAAATCATTAAATACACAAGTAAATTATTTATTTCATGATATAATTATTTATTTAATGATTTATCCAATTATTTAATTTGTCACATTCCACCCTCGTGTGTCATCATGAAGTAATGTTAACTGTCAGTCTCTCTCATCAAACTCAGTGGGCGGGACTAACGCTGAGCATGTGAAATCTAATGTAGCAGCAGGAATGTATCTCTCCACACTATTGTTAACATTTCCCAAGAGTAATAAAATGAATAAGGGCGAATAAGTGAATAAGTGGTCGATTTGTCTTCGCTTGCTGTGAGGAGCAGCCAATCAGGCGGCAAGATTAGAATTAGTCCCGCCCACTGAGTTTGACAAGTGAGGCTGACAGTTAACATAAATTCATGGTGATACTGGAGGGTGGAAGGTGACAAAATGAAATAAATAAATGTATAAATGTACATTTCATTATTTAATTGTGTATTTAATAATTTAATTGTATAGTTAATGAATTAATGATGTATTTAATAATTAAATTATATATTTAATTGTTATGTATGTATTATGTATGTATTTATTTATTTATTTCATTTTGTCACATTCCATCCTCCATACCAGCAGAGCAGTTTGTATTTGACAACCCACCACAGCCGCCCTGTTTAAATGTATATTTCAAGATAATTACATTGTCCCTACATTGCACTCTGTCATGCTCGCTCCATAACAGGAGCATGTTCGTGGCTGCTTACCATAATAAAACATGCACTCACTAAGAAAGTTTAATGATGCTGGTTCGAGCCGCAGCTATCAATCATCCAGTCATGCATTACACAGAAACAAGTTGTGCTGTTACTGTATATCAACCACTGAGGTGCCATCGATCAGAGCCTCACTGTAGCACAAACACGTGCACGTTAAAATATGCACAAGAACACATTTACATCCCTGTATCCCATCTATCACCAGCGTGAAGCACTTCCCATAATGCTTTCTTCACACATGTAAATGACTCACTACATTTAGAGTTAGAGCGCGTTGATTGCTTTTTATTTGTCCAAGGACCTGAATGTGCTCACACTGGATGACTAACTGTGTAATATTGTGGCTTGTTGGCCTGGGAATTAATTCAGCTTTGAGTTTAGTGAGCATGAGCATCATAGGTCCCTCGTAGATGTTTGTGCCTCACAGGGATGTCTCTGAATTCAACATTATTCTGCTTCACTTAGTGCAGTGATTCATATTTGTTGCACTGATGCAGTTAAATCCAGAGAAACTATGCCGAACAGTTCTTTGTCTTAGCATTTTTTTTAATCTTCTGTTTCCTTTTATGAGGACAGTGCAGCCTTAGCTGCATTTTATCCTTGGATGATCACAATAATCTAAAAAAGATTGCAACAGGAAGTAGTTATGAATCATTTTAATAACATTTTAGTGAACATTTTGAATGACCATCATTTATAAACACATATATGTTGTAAATACTTACTTTATAGTAATTTTTCAAAACTTCTGTTATTGTTTTGCAGGTAATATTCATGGTTAAAGTGACAGTTCAGATTCATTGATGTGATTTAATGTTCTGTGGAACGGCTATGGACAATCATTATCTACCTGTTGTAGATGGCTTTTAAGATTACCTCAGTTTAGAGATCTGGGGTTTAATTCTTACCAGATTGACACGTTCACTCAAGAAAGTGTGTTATTTAGAAATGTCTGCGTATTTGCAAGCTTATAAAGCAGCAGCAACTAGATGTAGCTCTTCCTACAGATTATTTTAATATTTCAGCTGACAGCTGTGTAAGGTTTAATAGCATTTATAAAAACAATTTAAAATATTTTAAGACCATTAAGACCCACTTTGGTCTTAGCTGTTTGTAAATCCAGTGAGAATTTCCTTGTTTCACCTACAGTACATAAGGTTGTTAGCTGTTGTGCTAAGATGTTAATCGTTTACAACTTTCCCGTATAATCTACTTTAAAAGATCTCTTTAATATTTCCATTTTTATTGTAACAAAATGCAAATCAACACAAATTAAGGGACTGTTTTTTTAAACCTGGCAGAGTACTTGCTATTTATTTTTCACTGATTAAAAGCAAATAATGCTTATATTAATCACAAATAATCTCAAACCCATCACAGAATTCAGTCAACTCACATTTCCCACATATGTTTGAGATCACATTTCAGACTGAGATTGAAGTGCAGGCTTCCTTTTGCATCCACCATCCATCCTGTAATAGTTGCTTAAACTTTATGCAGTATCACATTACAGAGCATAATGTACACGACTGTCTGTGTTTCCTGATACATGACTGCTTTAATGTCAACGGATGGAGTTGCATTCAAGCTCATTTTCTGGCATCTCAGCATTCTGGGTAAAGGTCGCAGGTCGTTCACGTCTTCCTGGCGACTTGTCCTTGTCCTGCAGAGCTGTATTCGTAACACAAGCTTCTGACTCTGTTGTTCGAACACAAACTGAAAAAAACACACATATACGGTGGAAAGCTTACATATATCCTATGATGTAGGAAGCTAATCAATTATTCATGCAGGACAAGACAGGTTTTTTTCTTACATTTTCTTTCTTTAGATGTTAAATGAACACAGAGACTGTATCACTTACATTTCCTGAAATATATATATTTTTAAAACTTCCTTTCTTGCTTCAATTACTCAATTTCTCTCATTTGTGGGAAACACAAAAAGACTAGTTCCAAAGTGAACCGACGGACATAATGAATGTAAACAGTCATGTGTTTTGCAATGCCTTATGGGAATATAAAACCCCCTTTACTATCCTGCTACTGTCTTTTCCTTTACTCCAGTAATTTCCCACAATGCGTGCTGAGCCGCTCTAACTCACTTTTACAAGACAAGGTCTTTCCTACCTCCGTGGACATCATCCAAAAAAACGTGAATGAAACTGGTTTCATAATGAGTGGGATTTTAATTTGTCGCTCTATAAAATGTCATCATTGTGTGTTTGCGTGTGTATTTGCAGACACTTAAAGAGGCCAGTGAAAATGCCAGGAAGGATTTCCACCGTGAAGCGGAGCTGCTGACCAACCTGCAGCACGAGCACATCGTCACCTTCTATGGAGTCTGTGTGGAGAGCGATCCTCTCATCATGGTGTTCGAGTACATGAAACACGGGGACCTGAACAAGTTCCTCAGGCATGCTTCTCCTCTACTAACTGTCACGAAAATGGCAACACAAACACAGCCATCTGATCAAAACAGAATCACCAACAGCAGTTTGATATTTAAAATATAAATAAATCCACCTCAAGGGTGCAGATCAGTATTCTACATGAAAGCTAAAAACTCAAGTAAGTTAAAAGTTTGTTGTGATCTCTGGCAGGGCTCACGGTCCAGATGCAGTTCTGATGGCAGAGGGCCAGACTACCAGACCTGTGGAGCTGACCCAGTCTCAGATGCTGCACATTGCCCAGCAGATAGCATCTGGTATGGTTTACCTGGCTTCACAGCATTTTGTGCACCGCGACCTGGCCACCAGGTGAGTCACTCTTTATACTATTGCTCATAAAACACCAAACTTTATATGATTAGGTGGGAATATTTTTTAAATGAAAGTTTTTTTTTTTTAATGAACAGCACAAATTCAGTCATAAGGACATGGTCTATTCACACCAAGTTCCAAAGGGATCAGTTTGATAACTAATACAATATCAAGAACATGATTGCTGAAATTTTCAGCAAGAACTGAAGCCTTAAGAGAAATCATTGACCTGAAATACAAATAACATTTAGGACAGATTAGCTGATTACTTCTGATTGAAACATTAAAATATGAATTAATAAAAGTAGTCTTCAATTAAAGAAAGCTTATTGCCTGCTACCTTACATTCCAAGACTTTGCATAATCTGTTTGGATTAGGAGTACTTTTTGGGGGTGATTCTCAGCTTTGACCTCAACAAGTTTTACCTCAGTAGCTGTAAAACTGACTGTTATAGCTGTTTGTGCATCTGCTAAGGTCAGTTAGCTGTGGTGGTCATCCTGAATCAGATCGACTCCAAGAGGTATTCAGTTGTAGATGTACACACAACGATTACTTTCTGAATTCTTTTTTCAAAATCTGATTAATGGTATAAAAACATTTTGTTAACAGACAAACAAAAACCTGCATACACAAACACACGCATTCACATGATCACATAGTGGAAGTCATGTTTCTATTCCAAAGATACATGAATGTATGTCAGTGTAAATGATGAGACCCCAGTTCTGTGAGCCATTTCACCTCTGACAGCAAAAGTTTTTATTTTTATTTCTCTCTTTTACTTAAAGAAACTGTCTGGTTGGTGAGAATCTGCTGGTGAAGATCGGAGACTTTGGCATGTCCAGAGACGTCTACAGCACTGACTACTACAGGGTAGGTGTATGTGTCGACATCTTTTCTGGCCCCTCTTTCACCCCCCTCCCCACCCTGCATCCTGCTGCATGGGTCTTTCTCTGCTCCCCCTTCACCCCTGCATGGGCATGACTGCAGAGTCCATCGGCCCTGCAGCAGAACATGTGCTGTGAAGCGTGAACAAACCAGAATACAGCAAGTTAAACCTGACGCTGCATCAGTCAACATCTTATTGCACATTATGTGTGCACATTAATTAACAGGGAAAAAAAAGAAGCAAATATTTAGTTTACAAACTAAATGTTTATGTGCAAGATAAATGTTTAATTTACAAACTAGGCATTTAACTTGCAGGTTAAATATTTAGTTGGTGAACAAAATCTTTAAGTGTAAATTAAATATTTAAAATCCAAGCCAAGTGTGTCACGAACCAAGGTTTTGGATTCAATATAAGCCAGACACAGGAGTGCAAAAATTAACAGTTTTTATTAATAAGGCTGCTGGTAGCTGCAGAGGGAGGCCTTTAATGCAATGGACAGTGGGGCAATGAAAGTTTGTGGTCCAAAGGGCAATCCAAAAGGGTGATCCGTGAGTCGAGGTCATAGACTGAAGAGGAGGTCGTTACCGTGGTCAGAGAGGCAGAACAGAACCAGATGAGGAGCAGGCAAAAAACTGGAAATCCAGAAGGCAGGCGTGAGGTCAATAATCCAGAGAACAAGGCTTGAGGTCTAGGCATGAAACTATGAGGGCTTGAAAATCAGGGACCATGGAAGGTGTAATAATCTCGCACTGGTGGAGAGGGAAAATGAATCTTATGAAGGGTGCAGAGCAGGTGAACCAGATGAGCTGAACAGGTGAGTGGAATCAGGGCTGATTGCTGTGATAAACTGAGGGGGTGTGGTTTTAGTGAGCAGGCAGAGGTGCAGGTTGACAGGAGATGAGAATAAACATGAACAGAAACTATGACCAGAATGGCAGAAAACATAGCATGTCATGAAGGGGCAGGGAAGTGAGCAGATGGGGGCCAGCGGGGGCCGCTGATCATGACAAAGTGTTTATTTTCAAAACTAAACATTTAATTTCCAAACTCAATATTTGTTTTCCAAGCTAGATATTTATTGTCCAAACTAAATATTTAATTTCCAAACTAAACATTTAATATCTAAGCTAAACATTTAATTCCTATACTAAATATTTAATTTGCTAACTAAATTTTTAGCTCAAACCTAAATACTTATTTACAAAGCTAAGCATTTAATTTCCAAAATAAATATTTACTTTACTAACTAAATATTTAGCTCAGACCTAAATATTTATTTTCCAAACTAAACGTTTAATTTCCAAAATAAATATTCAATTTGCTAACTAAATATTTAACTTGCAAGTTAAATATGTAGTTTGTAAATTAAACATTTAGCTTGGACATAAACATTTAGTTTGTAAACTAAATATTTAGCTTGTAAATTAAATATTTAGTTTGGAACTATTACATTTATAAATGTATGAATGACGTGGTGAAAATATGACTTTGAAAAAAAAAGACTATTATTTTTCTTATGAAAGACTAAATAGACCAAAATATTGCTGTTAATTTTTGACTGTGCAACTTTACAAACGGCACCCCATAATAGACCATTTAAATCCAAAAGTAAATAAATAAATAACTAAACAGCAAAACTTTTATTTTGTTGTTTTGCTTTTTATGTTTTACTCATTTTATTGACCATGTTCTGGATGATTGAGAATCTACACCAGTTTATAAGCAACCTGTGCTTTTTTTTCCACTTCATAGCTTTAATTAAAAGTTTTGAATTTACTACAACATACTGTATTATCTAGACTTTTAACTTTTAATCTTAATTATCTTAATGTGCCTGATCTGACAAATGTTCCCGTAATCTTGCCACATATTTGACTTATTTGTTATATTTTGTGAAATTAACACTAACTAGTTCTACGAAAACATCTCAAACTTCATATGAACTTAAAACAAACATTCCTTCTGTGGCTTATGCATGTTTTTTGTGACATATCTGCACTAAAAACTTTTTTTGCTCCAAAAGAACAGGTCAGTGTGATTCAACCTCCACCTAAAAGCAGCCACCAGAAGTATTGCAAGGCAGGCTAATTTGCAAACAGGGAAGAAGGAATAAATATAGTTCCATTTAGAATCAAAGTGATGATAGAATAGGTTTGTTATGTCTTATAGTGTTGTTCAATGATTTAAAGATACCACAATGCTATAAAAGTGAACAAAGAATGTGTTTGTGTTTATTTTTTGCTGCCATCCAACAATCTGTCACTTTCCCAAAGGACCAAATCCTAATAAACTGTATTGATTGATCGATAGAGACGCTCCATTTTTCCAGCCCCCTCGCCCATCCACTGTGACACACTGACATGACTGACGGTGACGGATAACTCAGAGGAGGCGGGAAGAGGAGGAGACGAGGGAGCAGCAGTCATTCAATGACAAGCAAAATCTCTGTTTGAGAAAACTAATGAACTTTCAACAACCAGAGTCAGTCGTTAAAAAAAGGTTGCGTTTGACGTAAGAGTCTGTAGTTTAGATTGAATGCAGTCCAAGAAATAATAGTTATAGGGGGGAAATAATAGGGTGGGAATTGTATTGTTATTCCACTATTTATCAGTCATCGTTAAAAGGTGAAGGATTAAATACCGTGCTTGCTGTCGTACACGCCGCACCGCCGTATAAGTCACATCAGTCCAAATATGTCTAATAAAGTGGAGTGGGAGTTTGCCCACCCAATCTACATGTGCTTTGTGGACTTGGAGAAGGCATTCAAAGAAGGTGGTTTATTATGGCAAGCCAAGTGTCTCATTAATAGCCACTTTTACCTATTAATGAGACACTTTGCTTGCCATAAAATTCAAGCGCCTTCTAGCGGCTGGAAATGGTAGTGCTCAATATTTTCCATGTCAGAATGAATGAAATCGTCAGATTTCAGCCAAAAATTGGTTTATAAATATGGAAAAAAAGCATAAATAAGTCACTTTGCTGTGTAAGTCTCAGGGCATGCTAATTTATGTAAAAAGGTGTGACTTATACTGCAAAAAGTCTGGTAATGTTACCAAGATATCTTATGAAACAATGGACAAATTAAAATGAATCTTACAAAGGTGTAACCATAGGATGAGCATCTACATCTGACTGACTTTTGGAGTCAACTTGATTCAAGAATGCTGCCACATCTGACTGACCTGAAAAACCTAGAAATTGCTGTAACTAGGTCAGTTTTGCAGATACTGATCTAAAAACTTTTGTTATAGCTGAGACTGATTCCCAACACATATTCTGAAAGTTACCTAATTTGACAAAATATGTTTAAAATTTGGCCATTGACTTAATGGAGTCGGCACAGTGGTTCAGTTGGTAGAACTGTTGCCTCTCAGCGAGAAGGACGCTAGTTCAAATCCCAGCCTGGGACCTTTCTGGGTGGAATTTGTATGTTCTCTCCGTGCATGTGTAGGTTTTCCTCTGGGTACTCCGGTTTACTCCCACAGACCAAAAACATGCATGTTTGTCTGACTGGTAACTCTAAATTGTTCCTAGGTATGAGTGAGAGAGTGAATGGTTGTCCTATTTGTCTATATGTGTACCACACAAAATTTGGCCTCAATATCTGTAACACTGGCTAAGATGTAGCCATTTTTGTATTCACTAATGTTGGTATCTATCTATCTATCTATCTATCTATCTATCTATCTATCTATCTATCTATCTATCTATCTATCTATCTATCTATCTTCTGCATAAATCCAAATCTTTCTCACAAACTGGTTGTTTGTGTCCCATTAAAGTGTGCACAGTTAATATTAGTGGCTTTCTTCAGTACCGTCTCTGTGTGACAGCACACAGCAACCTCTTTGCTCCTCCTCCTTCCTTTCACCCCCTCCTCAATAATGCCAAGTGCTGAGTCTGTAGTCATGGCAACAGGTAACGGTTGAAGGTAGTAGCGGTGAGCCTCAGAGCTGAATCTTTCAGTGCTCAGGAAGAAACATAATCAGAGAACTTCTGCTTAGTATGCTGAGGCAGTCGTGGAGGACTAGAGAGAGAGAGAGAGAGAGAGAGAGAGAGAGAGAGAGAGAGAGAGAAAGGAAGAAACCGAGGCAGGATGGTGACAAAAATGATGTGAGGGGGAGAGAGAGAAAACAGGAATGCCAGACACAGAGAAAGGACAAATAAATAAGGGGTGAGGGGATAACAAAAAATGTGTGGAAGAGTGCAAGAGATGTTCAGCTTTATAAAACATTCTATAAAATAGTCAGCAGGGAACAAATAATACAGGATGGGCAGAGTATCTCTATCAGAGTCTGAGAAAAACAGCAGGAAACGACAATATAAACACACAGAGACCGACAACAACAGCTTGGCAGAGAAAACATGCAGGATGCTGGCTCTGTTTCAGCTCCTCACAGAGGTGTGTGTTCGGTGTGTGTAGGCAGGTGTGTGGAGTGTACAAACCCAGCCACGCTCTTGCGTCAGACGGGAGCAAAGATGAGTCATAAAGGAATTGGAGCTCACCCACCACCTCTCAGTACTAGTGTGCGTGTGTGTATGTGTGCGTGTGTGTGTGTGTGTGTTTGGAAATAGAAGCAGAGGCGATAGAGTGAAGGGGCAGCAGTGACGTCATTGAATCCTGCGTTACACAATGAGCCTGACAGGGAGACAGGATGCATCCAATCAGAACTTCAGGTTTTAGAAGCAGCCATGTTTTTTTCAGCAGGAGTGGGAGTGTGGGTGGGGCTCTGCTCAGTGCACTATGCTCTAGTCATAACTTTCTTCTTAAAGTTATTGCACACCCCAGAGTGGATGATGAAGGTCAAATAACTTTCTACAGTGACATTACATAAAACCACTGGGTGGAGAAGCGTTGCACAATCTCTGTATACCCGTCTCCACTCTGACGTCCTGAGCAGACCCCCCTTAACCTGCTGGTAGAGACCCTGGGGCTACTCGGTCCTGCAGGCCCTTCAACACCCCTTTCCTCATTCCCACACAAATTAACTCTAAAAGTCGCCATTACCTGTCTTACAAACAATACCAGTATGTTATAAAATAATGTTAAGGCAAATCTGCCAGTATATGGCAAAAATAGCAATTTCATAAT